CAAGCAGCAGTTGTCTCCTGCTCCAATGTCAATCATGGAAAAGTGCTGAATTGTCACACCCCGGATATCACATCACTGATAAACCTATATTGACAAAATCTAAATTTTGTCTTGCTTAGAAAGACAGTATTCTAGTAACTAATAAATCTACAATCATATAGGTAATTTAAAAAAACAAGATTTGTGTAATAGCACATAATAATTTGTTTATGCCAATAACCAATAAATTATCAGCTTTGCAGCTTTTCAGAAATTCTGAGAGCTGTGGCGTTACCGCCAAGCAACACTGCGTGAAAGATGATTCTCATTGGTCCGCTCTCATTGTCACTCTCGAAAGTCACGTTATAGCCGGACGTAATCCGTGTACACACTAAGCGGGTAATTTGAATTTGTTATAGGGGTAATGTGCCCACATTAGGTTAAGGTAGATTAAGGTAGGTTAAGTCAGGGATGTCAGCGTGCACAGAGTGTAAAACACTCTAAAGATGTTAGAATTAAGACTCGTAGATAAGTTAGCAGTAAGAAATTTGTAAAAAATTTGTCTCAAATAAATAATGTCTAAGACCGGAATTTGTTATATGCATTTTGATTGTTTGAGTTTCATAGGGTGGGAACTGTTAGCTCCGGATAAATTTATTTGAGTAAAATAGAAATTTTATTAATATTTCCCAATAAAATTATTGACGCATTTAAAAAGAAAAGTTTATATAAACTCTTGTACTTGTACGTGCCCTTACTTTCCTGCTGCGGGCACGCAAAATTTATTTTCGATAAATTTTGTTAATTTGTTAATCAAAATACCATATTTTCAGTATTTCATAAGGGTCTCAGGTTTTAGTAGTAAGAAGCTTTACTTTTACATGCCCTTACTTTTCTGCTGCGGGCACGTAAAATTTATATTCAACCAATTTGGTATACCGTACCATAGATATAATTCATGTATATTACCGGAATGTTTGTTTTGAACATACTAGGTATATTCACCTGCACATATACACAATATGTACATACCTGGCATGTTCATCTCCACATATACCCAATATGTACATATATGTACATACATAGGATATACTTTTTATGAACTTTGATGTATATACATGCATGTATATTCCACGAACATTCATGTTAGGAATGTTCAACCATGTATATTCCCAGGATATTCCCGCAATGTTCTGTATATTTTTTGAACATTCTGGGATATTCATAGAATATCAAATGCTATCTGGGCTACTGCCGCTATTCCACTGATTTTTTTTTAATTCTGGGGTACATGAGCATGAGGAAATCTGTTTTTGACTCAGATTTTACAAATGATGGAAGAATACGCAGGAATTGTATGTTTTTTGCTAAACATCGTTATATTTGAATCATGTAATAGTTATAATGTAAGATAAGGAATTAATTTAGTTTTAAATAAAAAGTTTCTATTGGTTTACATGTTTCATATATAACGTTTATGTGCCAAAAACTACACATTACCTGCTTATTCTAGCATCATTTGTAAAATTTGGGTCAAAAATCGTTTACCTCATATTCATGTACTCCAGAATTTAAAAAAAAGATCAGTGAAATAGGGGCAGTAGTTGCCGAAATAATTAAATACAAAGAATTATAAATTGCGCGCAGGTATACTTTTCCCTTCAACCAGCAGTAACCCCCACCACTCGACCGCTTTGGTGCGCTCGGCCGTTTTCACTCATATTCAAGACTATGTTTCACCCATTTAACCGCAGTTTATATGAAAACTGCAAAAGAAAGAAAATCTACTCATGTCTAGTTTCCAAAACCATATTTTAAATTCCAGTCGGATAATCTCAGGCGCAAGCAGCCTTCGGCAAAAAAATGGCTAAAAAAGTTGAAATCGAAATTGTCGGAAAACTATTAATCCAACCGAGCACAGCTTTTGGACACACGAAGTATATATATACCCTTGTGCAAAATTTGAGCTCTTAATTTAAAAAATTAGCCAAGTTTTAAGTTTTTTAAGAAAACGTAAAGTTTTCCGGTTTTCCGAGTTTTCTCCGGTTCTAATTATCATATCAGGTAGATCGGTAGGTTTTTGTACTTTCGTGAGAATATGTAAATTACGAATTACACTACATGAAAATATATTCGATTTCTCTGGATCAAGACCTTCTGCATCTTAATAGACATTGAAAAAGTGCGAAGCAATAATTTAATGGTATCAGATTGGGCATTGGAGCGGACAATTGGAGCCATGTTGCCCAAAACCGCTCATTGAAGGGATTCGAATGAAAATGAACAACCAATGCCAATGCCATTCAGCTTTAATTGAACCAGTATTTGCTAAGTCGTCATTGCAACTGTAATTATCAAATGTAGGTAGTTAATAATATACAAGGTTGCGATGCTTGTTTTGGTTCCTATGCGCTATTCAAGCTTATTCTCTCGAGTAGGTGCCCGTTATCATTCTCGAGTGTTGTTTGGTGCTCTTATCTAAGGAATACATAAGTTCGGCGTTGATAATTGATCCAGTTAGTTCAGTGGTTGAAAATGTCAGGACCGACTGTCGCAGTGAAACAGGGCACCATCCTTGGCACCACTGGAGTTAATCTCAATGGCGAGGAATTCTACAAATTTTTGGGCATTCCCTATGCAAAACCGCCCATTGGACCGTTGCGCTTTAAGGTATATAGCAATTGATTGGTTTGAACATTTAATAACTTGCTTTGGAACATATTTATTTCAGCTAAGTATACAAACTTCTTACTGTTACTTAATCTATGGATCCTTAATGCTAACATCGCTAGAGTGTCTAACACTCTGTGTACCTTAAGATATCATCATATGACTAAATCTAAACTAACCTAATTACCTAATCTAAACCTAAACCTAAACAGCCTCTCTTGCTTCCTATAACTAACTTAAAGTTAGCCCATGGTCCTCGATGTGGTGCAGGAACTGGTCATCGCATGGGGTCCACGTCTTCTTCTTAGACTGTGTCCGCAGGGAGAGGTCTACGGTCGCAGTTGAACTTCTTGGTGCAAGAAACCCTGACGGTGGGATTCTTGCTGTGCCGAATCCTATCCAGGAACCCTGACGTTAGGTTCCGGATATGGTCCAGCAGGTCCTCTGTATCTAGGTCTCTTCGCAGGGTGGAGTTTCTGACGAAGTATGGGGCCTTTGTCACTATCCTCA